AACCCAAACCCAAACCCAAACCCAAACCCTTAAAAGGCTTGATCCAGAAACACTTAATTTTTTAAAGTATTTTATCTAGTTGATTAATTATTTTAGAAAAAGTTTTTGTAAAAATTAATTATGATGGTAGTATTATAAATTGCTCTAATTTTTGAACTTTTGAATTTGTAAAACTGGGGGTGATTGCTTAATTGGGAAGGCCTAAAATGATGATTAACAAAAAAAAAATGCAATTAATTTTATTTCTATCAATAAATAACATGCAATATATGTTATATATACTAGAAATGTCAGATAGAAGATATGTTTCTTTTATGTTAAATAATTATAATTTTATTTGAATTAATAATTATTTTTAATGTATCAATCTAAATGAAAATCAATTTTCTTCTACAAATTTGGCTTTGTGCAAAATTTTTTGAGAGATACATCATCGATGAATAATAATAAGCTTCTAATTAAGTTGTCAAAGAGATTAAAAGATTCTAAAATGCTATTTACCTAATGGAGAAAGCTATACATTTAATTTATTGATAGGAGAAAGACAAAAATATTCTGATATCTCATAGCAGTAAGGTTCAAGTCTGTATTTTTATGATCAAAGAGGATGTATTGCAACTATGAAGAATGAAAGCGGATTTCTATCTCCATTTTTATATAATGCTATAATGACTTTTTATAATTAATATATATAAAAAAATACATTAAAATGATAGTTTCTCCTCTCATATAGTATATACTTTATTCTTTGTTATTTTTCTTACATTTTTCAAAAATATTGATAAATTGACTGCTCTAAGAAATATTCATCATTTAATATTGAATTGTTTGCTAAAATTCAATTTTCAATTCAGAAATTCAATTGTGTTATCACAACCTTCGAATAAGCAATTTGCTCTAATTCTGTGTAAGATGACTAGTGGTTATTTTCTGATATAAAAGTTATATTAGATTATTTTTTTCTCAATCATTATAAATATAATAGATCTTATATTTTGCTCAATAATGTACCTATTTATAAAATTACTCTAATTTCTTTTCAAAAGGAATTGTCAATATTAAAGTTAATTCTGTTTTTATTAACATTCAATTTAAAATTGTCTTTGAAATTTATATTTCTTAGTTTTCTATATCAACTAATTAAATTATATTTTTAAATTAATGAAACAATAAAAATTGTATATTAATTGTTACCTTCTAGCCTTTTGTATTCCTAAATAGAAATGACAGGGATGTCCTTATTCTATTAAAATAAATTTTCTTAGCTTCTTTATTATACATCTTGAAAGGTAAAGTTATAGGGTATTATAATAAAAATAAACACGGACTTAAGGGGGAACATCATCTTATGCAACCAATTAAAAAAGAGAAAAAAATATTTTAGAATAAATTGAATAAATAATAAATAGGGTATATATTCTCTTTAGGATATTTTTCCTTCAAACATTATGAGAAAGAGACTTTGTTATTTATCCTTTGAATTTTTGATAGGTATTAGTTTTAATAATTTTAGCTGCGATACTAGAGTGAGTGATGAAATTTTTTATATGAATATAATTGTGTTAGTTAATAAAAATGACTAATTATTTTTATTTAACAATAGTTTCTTGTTATCTTACTTTAAATTTAATTCTGATTAATTTTTAACTGAATTAAAGATAATTAAGTAGTAATCTAAAATAAAATCTTATGCTGTTTAAGTAATGTTAAATTTAGGAGTGATATTCATATTTATGAATTGATTAATTAAATTAAAAAATAGCTATAATTCTTTAGATGTTAAAAAAAATATATCTTTCTTTATGTTTTCATTTTTATGTCATTCTTTATTTAATGTATAAAAATTATAATTAAATAATTAAACTATTGTAGTTAATTTTGAATTTTAAAGGAGAATTTGTAACAAGAACTAAAACTACTTATTAATAATATTCTCATTGATATATTTTTACATAAATATATACATTTAAAGTCCTAATTACAAATAAAAAAGCAATAATTGCAATATAAAAAAACTATAAATATTCGCTTTTACAGCATCAAGACAAGAAACAAGCATAATAAGTAATCTTTTTAAGAATTTAAGGCGAAATCTGCACATTGGCTCTTTTTCAGTATTACAGAAATATGCTTTAGAATTAATAATATGATAAAAAATTCAATTATGATTGATTGGATGTCTTTGGGACTATGATTATTCCAATTATACTTGAAATATCGACATAAATGGTATCCAAAATTTTCATTTTTAAGTTTAAAATTGAATTTATCTTATCTTTATATTTATTTTTAATGTTCATTATTATTCCATCATATTGTTTCATCTTCCTGGAAGTATCTTACTACTGGAAGAATCAGTTTCTAAAATAAAAACTCTCCTTTTTTTAATTCTTTGAATTCTTTATTCTAAAAATCATATGAAAATCAGTATTCACAGTTACAATGATCTGGTTTTTATGCAGAAGCTTCTACCCAAACATGATCATAATATAATTATTCTTCGATTTCTAGACACCAATTCACATTCTGTTTCTTGGCATTTGCATAATTTTATTCCATTCTTAAATTAAAATTAATTTTGTTCAAATTTTTTTTTTAAAATAATCAAAATTCAACCTAATTTATATTTTGTATTTAAAATTTATAAAAGGATTTTTAATCAGTATATTTTCAATATTTGGACAATAAATTGATTCATAATATATCTTTTAAATTTCACAATTTTTTTTATCACTATATCAATATAAATTATTACCTTTAAAAATCTTCACGGGTATATTTCCATAAATTCTTGAAATTTTCTAGTAAGTATTCTTTTCCCTTATATGAGAACAAATTATCTGGCCAATAACTAATTTTTTCTATGTTAATCTGCATTTTCGAATATAACTAAGCATCATAAAAAATTAATTTATTGTTAAATTAAATTTGAACTAAATTCCTTCTAAATTCAGTTTAACATAAAGGGCATTGTAATTTTCAGAAGTTTCTTTCTTATTTTACTTATGAACAATGAATGTTACAAAAGTTCGAATGTCCCAATTTAATAATGAAATTTTTGTTTCGCTATAGTAAGACTCATTTTCTTTTGGGATTGGACAGTTAACACAACGAGCTGGAAGTTCAATCATCTAACCAGATTAGTCCTTTAGTTTCATTAGACAATTAGAATGTTTACATTAATTAATTTTTTCCTTAACATTCCTATGTAATTCTAAGTTGATTACTGTTACCATCTTCTCTAATACTATTCTTTAAAATTCTTAGAAAGAAAGTTAAAATAATTTATCTAATTTGTTGTTATTCCAATATGTACTAATGAATTGGTCTTTATTACTAACATTATTTGAAATATAATCTGATAAAGTAATTTCATCATTATTTAACTTACTCACTACAAAGAGCTAATTTCCAGGATAAGACCTTGTTATAGCTTTTAAAAGTTCGAAATCAACTACAAGACAATGAACAACCTATTTTAATACATTTTAAATATAGATTAATATTTATTGAAAGCTTTATGAATTGGACTCTTTTTCTTGTAATTGTTTGTTTTATAAATCCCTATAGTTTTCAATCTGATAACCAATCAATCTAGTTACATAATTCATAAGCTTCAACATGTTTGCAATTCTTATGTCTTACTGGAATGTTTATATTTACATTATCAAGTCAACATATAGACCAGAATTAAAATTAATTATTTGATTTAAGTTTTTAATCAAAGAAGGCTAGATAAGAAAATTATTATGCTTTTTCAAATTGATCTTCATTATTCTCTGTTAATAACAATTTTATTTGTTGTTAAATTTGATTAGATGTTAATGGGTCCCCAAATCTTCTTTTATTTCTTTTAATGTGACTTTATAAAATTCCATGTAAAACAGAAATTTTATCTGTAAGAGGATGGAAGTCATTCTTAATTCTTATATAGAGATCATGTGGTACAAAATCTGAAACCTCTTCATAAACTTTTGCGCAATGAGGACATTTATAAGAATTATTCTGAGAATTGAATCCATTTACAACATCTTAGAGATCGATGAATTTTTCTACACAATTTATTAAAAACCTATTTTAATAAAATTACATACAGGATAGTAATATTTTTCACCAGTGTTTGGCTTTATTAGTAGAAAGTCAAGATTAGTCATAGTACTTTTTAACTATATGAATGGCATAATGAAGTAGCATTAATGAATTTTAGAAATCTTTTTTAATAATAAAAACCAAATTTTTATAGATTTAATTTCATATTATTCTATTGATTAAAATTCCTATTATATATATGATACTTTAGCCTTAGGCTATACTTGAATACAGTTTTAAATTTAATTATATATTATTGTGGATTGAATACCAAAAACCTAAAAAATTATAAATGTTCTTTTAAAAATTTGTGGATTTATGAATTATATTGATTTATTAACGTAAAGTTTGAAAATAGTATTGTTAATTAAATCTTTATTTCTCATCTACCTTAGAAGAGCATCAAGTTTATTAAAAATAGTTCTTTTCCAATTCATATTGGTTTAGCTGATTTTTATTTTTTTTGTCATATGAATTTTAAGAATACGTAATTTTATTTCATTAATAAGATTTCTCTATGCTTAATAAAGGATTTGCAAAATAATAATTCCTGAGTTGTAGGATTCCCCCTAAACTCAGTACAATCGCTTGAATTATTTATTTTTTTCTATATAATAATAAAGTTATCACTAATAAGATTGGGTCCTATTCATAAAAATCACTGTAGACCTAAAAAATTTTAGATTTAAGGATTCCAAATTAAAACATAATAATTTGTTTTGAGAAGGAGAATATTAAATTATCAATAACTAATTATTTTTTTATGCTTTAAGTTAGTAGACCCTATATTAATTTAAAAAGTGCTTAAAAGTTTCAAATTATACAGAGGCAATAGCAGGAGAAGTTATTCTAGATAAATTTATTATGAAAGGAGTATTTCTATTAGAAATAAAATAATTTATAATTATAGTATTTTAGGGAGGTTTAATGAAGCTTAAAAAATTATAAAAAGTCATTAAATCTAAAAAAATTTCTTTTAGGATAATATGGAGAGGAATATTCTAAGTAATAAATTTAAGAAATTCGCTTAATAGTTTTATAATATTAAAATTATTCTCTAGAATATATATTTTCAATTTTATTTTACTATTTAGTAAAAATAAAATATTA